ATATTATAGGAAATAATCAGAATGAATGGTCCCAAAATATACCGATTCTAACTTTTAAAAACTCCAAGAGTTTCCAGCTGGCCCCTGGACCACAAATAAAAAGTTGTCCCCCCCCCCTCCCCCAATATTAAAACCTGAAATGGTGCTCTTGTAATATATTGTACATGGTATCCACTTAGGGGTACTGAAGACTGCATAGCCCTAAACTTGAATAATTCTTTTTTCTGAACTTGTTGATGAGGCATGATAAACATTTAAATTTCTAGGCTTGTAAAACAAAGTGTCAGAATCAGCTTTGTAAGTAAATTTACAATGACTTTATCTAATGTGGCCACATGTAAAAAGTATTAGGTCTGTGCAGCACATGCTCTCCATAAATGTAATTCCTTTGAAAGAGGCTTGGTTACACACACTGTTTTTCTGGGAACTTGATAACTTACTACAAATTTTATGAAATCGTGAAAGTTGTCTCATTCGGTTTTGAAGTAATAGCTGAATATGGATTTGGAGGGAGTCGGGTGAATAATTCCACAGTGATTGTGGTGGAGATGTCTTACTGAGGGTTGAGTTTTGGACACTCGGCATGAGACATATCTGTGAAGTGTTTGTTTGTCCAAATGGCTGTGGATACCAAGAGATCTTAAATGAATATGTTCTGGAGGACATGTTGGAGTTTTATGGCACAAATCAATGCATTACTCTAGCATGGTGAAGCCTCCTGCCACTAGGCATGTAAGACCTGTACATAGTTTCAAAGTGACAAACATATCATCAAAAATATGGTATCAATGTCTGCATAGCTTAAACTGTGTAAAGGACTGCATTATCTGGGATATGATAACAGTTTTAGTTATGTTGTTTCAGTACTAAAGTTGATACTGAGTATTAATTTTGTTTGTCTTTGTAAGAAACTAATATTTTGTTTTATCACTTGTGGTGTGAGATATATTTTATTTTGTTAGAACTCTAGTGATTCTAGTTCATTGAATTATTCTCAAAATGAACAGATTTTCAGCAAAAGGAATTTATACTGTGATAACCTTTCATTATACCACAATTATATTCATAATCGTTACAGATAATTGCCATTTATGAAGAACAAGGTTCTCTTTTTCCACCACATAATGAAGGAGATGGTACAAGTGCTAGCTCTGTGGGAACAGAAAGTCCTGACATCTTCAGGGGAAGTGAAGAGGTGAAAGAGCCATTCACTGAAAATGATGTGGAAATCACTGCAGACTATATTTATAATGGTAGTATTATTTCTTCCCAGTTAAATGTTGCAGTAATTTAAGAATAGTCTTTATAATATGTAAAGCAGCCTTAAGCTCAAATGTTTTGGTCATATATCAAAACACTTAACTGTATACCACATCAAAAAATGTTATACATCCTATGTATAATACATTTCTTTAATAAATTTATGATGCAGCTTACTTCTTTAAGAAATAAATGGTATTCGAAAACAGTGCAGATTTCTTAGAATAAAACTAAATGTTTTCAATACTTAAATATGAACTACTGCTCCACTGATTGCAAAATCATAAAAAGTATCATAATAATGAAATTCTGCAATATTTAATCCACTGTATACAGTAACTTATAAATATTTATACACTTTCACAAGACTAGGGCTATCATTCTCTCTATTGATCAATTTTGGTTTATTTTTCAAAACTTTACTCTGAAGAAAACCTTCTTTTTCTGACCATTTAAATATCTTTGACATACTAGGATACAAAACCACCTCACTTGTACTCCTTTTCTGTCCTCATTTTGAATTTTTGAAAAATTGCATGTCATAATAACAAGGCTTAATACTTCTGTAAAGCATTTACATAGAAAAAAAAAAGAGAATTGAATATTAATTGCATTGATCCACCTTCCATTTAAAGCAGTAGAAAAAAATTAACAAATTATTGTTTATTAAATCAATGTTTAAAAGTCATATACACTGTAAAATCTGAGATCAACATACAGTATTGAGATTTTGTGTGTTATGTGGCCAGCCATGAGAAAATATTCATTCAGAAATACTATTCCTTATCTGCACCACAAAGAACTAGTACCTTGTATGCACTGTCATGTAAATTCATGTGCATGCCACAAGCCTTAAACAAAGATCCCACCTCTACACATATCAGTGTATATTGCACCAGACTATCATGTAATCATCATTAAACTATACTATTAACCCTTCATGAATAGGCAACATGTATTCCATGAGCACTAGCATGTGAACATAGGCTTATTCTTTCATCGGCACTGTTTGTCTTCAGGTTTGTTTTTCATAAGATTTACCAGTATTTTCACACTTATTGTTTTAACCTTTCATTACTATTTGTCATGTAGTTTTTCTTTCCTTAACTTTGTTGATTATATAGAAAAAAAAAAAAAAAAAAATTATATATTATTAAATTTTTATTTTTTTTGTTTTTTTTGGGTTTTTTTTTTCTTTTTTTGGGTTTTTTCTTTTC